GCTAGTTTATCTTTGGGGTTTTTTTTCGCTGATAGAACAGGGCTGAGGAATGCAAGCTGTTTTAAAGGTATGAATGAAAATCGCAGGAGTCGTTCTGGGAGTCGGTCAGCTCTCTTGCTGGTTATTCGGTTCTGCTCCCAGAACATGAGCCAGAATCTGCAGATTTCCGTATTTATTCTGCATGGCTGGATCTGCAGTATTCTGCCTGCACCCTCCCTTACCTTGGGTTAGTGGTTTTCTGCGTGTTAGGCTGTCAGAAGAGGTTTGCAGAAAGTGTATCCTCTTCCCTGTGGTGGGGGAATTCCCGGCTGTTTTGCGGTCCCGCCGGCATTCAGATGCATTCCCTGCTGATGCGAGCGCTGCGACCTGCGCGATCTCACAGGGGAATGTTGGCTGAGCCCCAGCCCCGGACTCTGAGCTCCAATGCCACTTTTATGGCTTGCTGGCGAGATTCGGGAGGGAGGTGGCGCTGTTGCCCTGTTCATTCCTGCCCTGGCAGCCCCGCCCCCTCCCCAGCTACCCCCCCCCTCCGCGTAGACTAGGAGGACGTGCTCCTCTGTGTCTCCTGCAAGCCAAGCCCTGGGCAGTGGTAGTCACAGCTCACCTGCGACGTCGCAAGGTCCGGGTGCTTCACTGGAGATGTACCAATACCAGGTCGGGCCCTATGAGGGAAGCCCCAGTGCTGGGAAGGCTGCCTAACCAGGCCGGGAGTGAGGAGAGATGAAAACAACTGCCAGGAGCAGATCGTGGGGCCCTGTGGCCGGCGGCTGGGGAGCGGGCGTCTCTCGGGCACCGAGCGCAAGGACCACCCTGGAGGATAGGCGCTTTCTCCACGGCTTCAACCGCAGGATCTCCCGCCTCTTTGGTGAGTCGCTCCCCGGTGGTGGCCACTGCTGCTGGGATACCTTCCCGGAGGCGAGCCGTGGGATTCTGTAGCCTGGCGTAGTGGCCCCGCACATTGGGGTTGGGTTCCAGAGATTGGTGGACCTCATCAGGCATGAGGTGAGCTCAGCCACCCCCCGCAGCGGTCTCTAGCTCCTTGTGCAACAGCCTAAATCTTGGCTCTGAGGTGCAGTGATGCAGTGAGAGTGACTTACTATGAGAACAGCACTGACGTCACCTCTTCCTTGTGGACACACAGTGCCAAGCCTAGGTCTGATTCGGCTGTGGTCCGGATATTTGCGTTCGCTCCGTCCTTTGGTTTCCATTTTTTGCCGGATTTCCATATCATTTGACTTGGTCTCTGGGTGTTCTTTGCTGCAGGCTGAAAGGCGACAGCACTGAGCTATTCTAGGACAGCACTGTCAGCCGGATGGGCCGGCAGAACCCTGAGGGGCTCGATCTGTGCACCGTATGGTCCTGTGAGCTCAGCCCTGCCCTTCTGGAGGCTTTTTTTTGTGCATTTTTTGTACTCGCTGTTAGGCTGACAGACGCAGGTAGACATTCTGATGTTAATTTCTGCCTTCAGCCATAATTTTGAGTGAGCGGTTTTAAATCTGCGCGGGGTTGGGGAGGATTTAATTTCTTAAAATAAAGGCTGAAGGTGCCACCCCCTGCCTGGTGGGGACGCTGATATGACAGTGTTCACACTGGTGTTTTTCAGAATCGCTCAAGGACTTCACAGTTAAATATTAGACCGGTGGCATGGCTCCATGTTTGTGTTGTCGTGTCTTGCATCTATTCCTGTAACATGCCGGAGAGGTCAGAGTCCGCGGCGGCCCAGCCCTGATTGGCTGCTGAGGTAAAGCGCCTCTGTTTTGAACGTGTTTTGTTTCAAAGTCACAAACCGGAATGCGACGCATCCTTCCATGCGCCAGAGTGTGGGAGCAGGGAGAGCATTTCTGTGATCAGGACCTGTGGGTTTGGGGGTAGTAGCTAGAGAGATATGAGAAATTCACATACTCTCAAACTTTTAACTTTCGGTTGAACATCAAGAGGCTTTCCGGCCTCTTATCTCTGGCCCTGCCTGCTGTGACCTGAGTCTCCTGGTGCGTAGAGCTCTGCTCCTCATGAGTCAGCCACAAATCCTAGTCCCAAGGTACCAGCTTCTGCCTGTGTTGGTTTATACTGGTTTAATTACCTCTGTTTTGTCTCGGCAGGTGGAATAACCAGCTCTGTTTTATATATAGTATTTCTCAAGCCTGTTGGGTATGTTTGCGCATTTTCTTGCTTGACCTGACTCGTAATTTCCTCTGCAAACCGGTCGAGCCGTCGACTGCTGTGACCGGAGCTGATTGGGTGATGACCCGTGATCGATAGGGCTGTCGGATCAGTGATGGCTCAGTCTGCTTGGCCAAAGCGTGTGCGACAGCCCGCTAATGGAAAAGTGCTTGGCGTGTTAATCACCATGGATGGATTTGCCAGTGATTTAATGATGCTCGTTTTGCCAAATTGAGTGAACTCCCTATAGCTGACTTGATGGAGCAGGAAAAAAAAAATTCCACAAGAGCAGGAAAAAAAAAACACAAAACATGTTCCTTCCTGTAGCAGAAGGGCATATATACCCTTTGCAACTAACTCCTTTGGATTCTGTGCATGCTTATATGAAAATGCTGACGGTGATGAACACACTGGTTACGATAATGTTGAATATTTTTATTGGTTTATGTAGATGAGATCAAACCAATAATATTGGGTTCCAGTTGAAGCTTCAACTGCCTTCCTTACTCAGGTCTGGTATCTGACTGTTTTGGTTGCCGCAGGAAACAAGCTGGTAGGCCATAGTTGACCACAGGAAGCTTAAGAATAAAGTCAAGCGTTTGGATCTGCCTTCATGGTCGGTGCTGCTCTGCGCTGGGAAAACTGAGGGACCTGTTTGCATTTTGTTTTTTTTCCCCCCCACAGTATCATATGTGACCGGACTCCTCGACCTGACCAGTCCACACAGGATTTCCCCTTTTTGGGGGTGACTGGGGGGGGGGGCGGTTTCCGTTTCTGTGAACCACAGCCGACCGGTAACACGGTAGCTGCTGGTCTGCTGACCTCTGACCCCCCTTCGGCTGTCGTCTTTGTGCCCAGTTGCGTGCCTGGGTTCCCTGCCTTGTCTTGTAGGATGTGCATATTTTTTCTGCTTGCTTCGGTTTGTAGCAAGTTTCCCAGCAGCCCAGATGAGCAGTTTTCCAGAAACGCTCTATTCCTCTATCTGGCCTCCAGGTCGTGCTGTGGTCTCCTCATCATCTGTTTTGACACTGAAGCCACTGAACTGCTTCCCTTTCTGGCTTTTAATTGAATTTGCAAGCATGTGAAGCCACATATGGGGCTGTTTATTTGATTTTAGGGTCCAGACAGAACATGTCTCCATGTACAGGAAAAAAAACAAAATTCCTCTCTTGGAGAAGGAGCAGTTTTAAGTCTGATGTTTTAGATCTTCCACATCTCCTTACTACTTGTGAATCGTTTGAGTCTCAGTGTGTGTCTTGGACTGGGCTGAAACACGCTTAATCCTCGCACGGGTGCAGAGCCGGGCTCGCGGCCCAGTGACGCCGTTCTTCCCCTTGAAGGTGCGGCTCCAGGCCTCTGCAGGTCCTGCTCCTTCGTGTTCCGTCATGTGACAGCAGCCGCTTAGCAGGCAGGGCTGGGGCCGGCTCACGGATTCGGTGACCTCACATGCAGCGCGGCTCCTCTGCCTGATAGGGTGGGGTGGGGCGCGGTGAGCTCATGGTGATACAGCAGACAGGAAGGCCAGAATGTTCTCGCGGAGGATTGTTCGGCACGGGCTTGTTAGCGTTGCGGTGAGAGAGGCCTCTGATGGCCAGGGGGGCCTCATGCCGAGTCACTGCAGCGGAGTCCTTACACGACCCCCCCCCCCCCCCCCCCCCCCCCCACATGCCCCCCGGGGCACATCA